TATATATATATATATATGTATATATATATATATATATATATATATATATATGTGATATTGAATGGAGTTAGCCGTTAACACTGTTGAATAAATATAATATAAATCATCAAAGGTACATATACAGTGTTCTTAAATAAGGACATGATGGAACATCGTAGGCTACCCTGTAGCTTTTCAACGAATAAAGTCCTATAAAAGACATTGTGTAATAAAATTCCTCCGACGGGATTTGAACCTGCGACCTCTCGCTGACAAGGCGAGCGTCATAAACACTAGACCACGAAGGCTTCATGGTTGAACAGGTCCAAATAACTGTCGGGAACATTGTATTACACAATGCTACGCCTCAACAGTGTTAACGGCTAACTCCATTCAATATCATATATAATATACGACAGTATTTCTAGCCGTATTGCCAGCAGATTTATCTGGCCGAACGCCCTCTTGAGGCATAACGTTGTGTAATACAATGTTCCCTGCGGTTATTTGGACCTGTTCAACCATGAAGCCTTCGTTAAGGTTTTGTCGTTTTTAATACCTTTTAAAATTTCTGTTATATTTTAGGCTTTGTGGTGCTTCCTCATAGGAGCTATGTCCTCCAGCTTGGCAATTTCTATGAGGTACTGGTTGAAATTTATGATCGCAACAGCAACAAAATATTCCCATCAGATGTAAGTTCAGTTTTTTTTCTAAATCTGTAAAAAGAGCTTTTTTCACATATACAGTATTGTGAATTGAATGTATCCTTTTATTTTGATAATTCATTTTTTATGTGTTTCTTTATGTGTTTTGTTGTTTCTAGTATATGCTTTTTAAAATCATATTTATATCTGGGTGAACATTCTAAAATAGAGGAGTGGCAAATAATGTGATTATAAACTAAATCTTTGTTAGAGATTTAAAGAGTTTCTATGTCTTCAATTTTGATAAAATGATTTGAACCGAGGAGGAGATTCTCAGCTATATTTTATAATACTGTTATTCTGTAATGATGGTTTTTATTCTTTAAATAATGTCACTTGTCTGTATATTAGTATATTTATATAATTTATAAAAAATGTAGAAAGTGTAACTAGTTCAGAGCAAGGTAAACTGTGTAGTACGACAATACTGTATTACTACTATTTTTTTTTACACCCTGATTGATTGAATAATTCAGGGTGTAAACAAGTTTACCTTAGTGGTGTAGGAGGCTTTGTGTTAATACTCGTGGAGATTGACTCCTCAATGTTTGATGTGTCGGTCATAAAATAATTTAGTGTTTTATTGCAAGTGACTGTGTGTGCATGTAGGTTGTTCCATGGACTTATCACTCGAGAACGGAAAAAGTAGTCACTAAATCGATACAACCGTGATATATTATATCTACCATTGTCAGGAGGTTATGTTTTATTGGGAAGTGTTGACTGGAGTAAATTCTAGTTTTCACTATTGGTTAAAGCAATTGCATATTCTGCAGAAGTTTTTGGTTTGGTAAATATTGTTTTCTCCCTTGTTGTTTTCAAGAATATCCGTATGGATACCGTGTTTCCTGCAGAATACTTCAAAGTCCTATATTCCTCGCGGAATGGAACATACCATCGAGTACAAACACTGAAGAGTGGTACAGCAGAAATTGCAGCTACGCTAATCGCCGTTGCTTTGCCAGTAAGTAGAAGGGTTTTAGTTTTAGAAAACTAATGGTGTCGTGGGTGATAGACATTTTAAGGGTGGGTGGGTGATAATATTGGTAATCTCTAAATAATAAGAGTGGATTTTAAGGATGGAAAAGTGGGTTACCGCAAGGGAGAGTGGAGGGGGCATGAAATTAGCTTTAGACTGGGTGGAAAACTTCAAGGCTGGGTGCCCCCGCCCACCATATCTACATCACTGAAGTAAATCTTGATAACAGATCTTCCGGATTGTCAATCATACTTGAAATTGGCCAACCAGAACACGGCCAAGAATATACGCTTCTCTCACTAACTCATTGTCCTACAAAGGCATATGTTTGTAAGTGTGACTAGATCTTAGAACCAGGCTCTGGAGGGAAAAAAAATTCATATGTTGTTCAACTGATTTTTTAAAGACACAAAAAGTGTGTTTGAAAAACTCCCTTTCTGTTACTTTACAAAGGTGGAAAAAGGGGTGGTTATGTCACTTTTCTCTCAGTTTTTTAATATTCAAAAACCTGTAATATCGTTAACTGTTTCCAATTTTTTTTTTTTCAGACACCCTTTTTGTGTCTTAGAAAAATAAGTTGTGCAATATATTAAAAAAATATTTTCATCCAGAGATTGGCTTAAATAGACTGGTATCAAAGCACTAGATAACTGAACCTGTACTAGTGGCTAAGGCTTGTATTTGACCCTTTAAATCAGTGTTTACTAAAATTTTAATATCAGTACACTATATAAATATAATATGTAACATCAGTCAACAGAAAATATCATTAATGTCTTATTTGATTGCAATTTCTCCCTGATATTAATTATTTTGATATTTAAATTTTGACCGTGTAATGTTTGTATTTTTTTATTTAGTTTGGTCATCCTACAGTAAACTATGCTGATATTTGCTCATTTATTTTATTCATTTAAAAAAATTTTTTATAATAGTTTGGGCATACAAGTACAATAAAATTTCAAAATATTACATTAAAACAAGTTCTCATAATCTCGAAAGCTCCGATGAGGGCGGTATAATAGAGACAGTAGCATTAAAAAAGATCTAATTATCAATCAATCTATTAATCAATCAGCCAAATGTTAGAGCTCATGAGGGCAGAATAATAGTGGCAGTAGAGTAAAAAAGGTTCTGTTAATCAAATATCAATCAATCAGCCTTGTGAGGGCAGTATAATAGAGGCAGTAGAGCTTAAAAAGGTCTATTAATCAATCAGTCGACTGTTTTCTAGAGCTCCTCATTAGAGCTAAAAAACAAACATTGAAATTATAGAGCGAAAAAGAGAAGACCAACTGCAATATCCAGGAAAGATCAAATAGCGCTTGCTATTTTACTAAAGGCCTTCCCAATAACGCAGTCAGAACATATAAATGTCAATGAAATTACAACCTTTGAAAGAATGAAGAACATGTGATTGATTGATTTATGTCAGTGCATTTTCTTTATTTAGGATGAATCGGTCAAGAAGTTGAAGATTCCAATTGCTGGGAAACAGGAAGTCAACATATACAATCCACTTGTGGTGGAACCATCGGAACTTGTGTTCCCTTGGCAACCTAAATCTGTCCATTCCCATTATCAATTCAAGCTCAAGGTAATCTATAATATATATAGGCCCAGGATTTATCAATTTCAGCTTAGCAAATGTCAAAAAAGTTAAGATGTCCTTTAGCAAATATCTCAAGCTGATTTATCAAACCATCTTAATAGCAAAATTTTAGCCTAAAAATCATCTTAGATAGTACATGCATACAATCAACTTTTATAATTTTAAGCTAAGCAGTATTGATAAATCTGACTTAAGGCAGAAGAATGAACTTTAAGCTGATTTCTAATTTGATAAATCTGACCCTCAGCTTTTTTTAGGCTGGGCTAGCTTAAAATACAAAGAAGTTGACTTATGGCTAGTGATTTTTCACTACCATAAAACAGAGAATAGGCCTTTAATAAGAATCAGTTTTGGAATATAAATGTATAGTATTTTCTATTTATTAGCTGTCTGGTCTTTGGTTGAATTGAGTATCACAGTGTTTTGTAGTTTTGTAGATGATATGTAAGGCGAGACTTCTTTGATACCTTGTTTTGTGTACTTATTTTTTTAAAACATTGTTTGAGGATGGTGAAAAAAAAAAAAAAATAAAATTCTGTTTTCTTGATTTAGTAAATGGTTTTGCCTAAAATATCCAGACGGAGGAGAAAATAAAAATACAATTTTATTTTTGAATGTAAACAGTGTAGTAATAAGATGGTTAAATGCTTTAAATTTATATAATTAGGAAGAAATATACATATCTGTTTACATATCTATCTATTTTGCAAGGCAATGGCGAGCGTAATAAACATTAAGAAAAATTTTTTTTTTTCTCGTACTTTTCGTGGTGGCAGCTTCGCTAATTGTCCAAAAATTTAATTTAATTTTTATACAAAATCATCATTATTGGCGGTCGGCGGGTTCGCTTAAACTACAGTAGGTATAAAAAAAGTCTCGTCTAAACTAGTAAATATAAAAATGCATCATTTCGCAGGCTGGCAAAGAAGGTCTACTGAAAATATAATCTAGGCTTTTAGAGCCCTTGATACACTGTTCCTTATCCTGCTTATAACGCTCATGTGAGGATTTCTCGATTAGCCAAGCAATTATAAAAGAAGGCAGGTTTGAACCAGGGTCTTAGTCTTAAAAACGGAATATTATCCTCATCCATACAATGTTATTGTTATTGTCTTAATTGTACTCAGGTTTTTAAGCTCAGTGATAATCATTTCTATAAACTGGGTGGATACAGGTCAGCTTGTAGCCAAATTTGAGAATGATAGCTGAGACAGTGTGAACCAACAATAAATCATTATTAGTGGTACACTTGAAAAAAATCATTTTAATCATCTAGGCAACTGGTGGTACTGGAAACTACACTTGGTCATCGTCGGATAAAGTCATCGCTAATGTGAATGTTCATGGTTTGGTTACCACAGCAACGATGCCCGGGGAGACTACGGTTACAGCAGCGGATGTACGCAATAGTGCACACACTGGGTCAAGTAAGGTTAGTGCTGATATGTTGCAATATACCTATATTAATGAATTTTTAATAATTATTATATTCCTTTAAGAAGTGGTATATTATTATTGTTTAATCTTTTATGTATGAGAGCAGCATATCTCAAAATGACGTAAATTGGTTATAGCCACATTGTGCGATCTGAACGTTATACATTTTTTCAGTATCTGGTCAGTTCCAGTCGCTGCTCAGCTTTTGTTTGAGCGGGAGGGCTTAATTAAATAAAGGTTGCAATAGAGCACGTTGACGGTATGCTAATTTGTCTATGTGTACAATGTGGTCCATGAGTAAAATGAACATTGTACACTACTAAGAAAGCTTGCAGGGATTGTCTTTGGTGTACTGTACAATCTACCAATAGCCAGAAAAAACCCATTAGAAATATTAGAAATATATCTTCATACTGTAATGCATTATCCATTTTTTGTTTCGCATCCAAATCTTTATTTTTTTAATAATTGCTTAATACTAAACTGTATCATACTTGTTTTTGTGTTGTGGATGCCTTAACCCACTACAGGGTGTGAACGGGCTACACATAGTGATGAAAAATAACCGTCATCTATTCATTGAATGGGATAATCTACATTGTTTTGTAGGTTTATGTACTGAGACCAGTTGAAATGCTGTTCTTAGATTCAAGAGTAGAAGCAGAGTTGGGCACAACCTTGGCACTTCCTCTGGCATTGTTTGCACAGGCTGGGAAGGGTAAAGAATTTTCTTTTAGTAAATAGATAGATCTTTATTCACATGTGTGCTACGCATTGAATCAAGTAGGTATTTTACAGCGACAAGCACTGCTCTGTGGAGCTACTTCTACCTTGTTGCTTGCAGTTGTGTATTTGCGTGTAAAAGTTGACGCGAGTGCTACCATTATCATCTAACTGAGGTCAGTTGATATGAGTTGGTTATGTGAAATCGCAAGGTGTGGCTTTAAAATATTTACTCTATATCTTTATGTTTCTTTTAAACAGAAAATTCCAAGTTTTTTTTTTTAACTTTTTAGGTTTCTTCTTAATTTTGTTGGGTGGTAGCATTTCTTCATTAAATAAATTGATAGTAATATGGTTATGTTTATTTTCATGCACCATCTCTAGGAGGAGAGAAGAAACGGTGTACAGACTGCAAGCTTTTACCATTGGACAAGCAGCTGTCAGACACCACAGTATTTCGTATTGTGGAAGGTAAAGTAATTCAATATTTAAGATAAACAGTGGCAGAAGATGTGTATAAGAGACAGGTATGGATACCGTGTTTCCTGAAGAATACTTCAAAAGTTTCTCCCCCCCCCATTTTATTTTTTTAGTTATAAACAAAAAAAATCAGAGAATTATATTCAAATTTCTGGGAGTGCCATTTAGAGGGGAATGAATATAAAAATACTTGAAAAACAATGTGTTTTTCTCATGATGCTATACAGGTGATACAGAAGTTGCCGAGCGTGCATGTACTATGCTGTTCTTGCATGCGGATTCCATCGGCCATTCACGATTGACGGTGACCTATCGCCAAGGTGACATCAAGCTTCAAGCGTCGGTAACCGTAGCAGCGTACGCACCATTGGAGGTGAGAAATCATTTTTTTTTAATTGATTTTACAATATTTAAAAATGGTAATCTCACCTCATTTTGTATACTACTTTTTTTGATAGTCAGGGATGTAGTTGAGGTTAGTGAAAGTTTCCACCTAGTCTAAAGCTAGTTTCATGGCTCTCCACTCACCTTTATCAACCCCCTTTGCCCATCTTTAAAATCCACTCTTAATATTACTATACTTTA